AAAGAACTGCAAAAGAAGTGCAAGAGGAAATCTCCACAGAAGGACTCTCAAGTTGGTGACTGCGCCGTAATCCGCGACGACGGTCTACCGCCGACCGAGTGGCGTCTTGAACGAATCCAAAATAATTATCGTGGGCCTGATAATCACATCCGTGTCATGGACCTCACGCAAAACGGGATAATCACGCGGCGCTTAGTGAAACTGTGCTTCATTCCAAAAAAAAAAAAAAAAAAAACTATAAACCGATATATTGGGTTGCCCAAAAAGTAATTGCGGATTTTTCATAAAGTCGGCGTTGACAAATTTTTTCAACGGCGTATGACTCTGTAATTGCATTCTTTTTTCTGTCAGTTATCAGCTGTTACTTTTAGCACTGAGCAGGTTGCTAAAAAGTTACGAGATGTGTATGGTGATGAAGCCTTAAAAGAAAGACAGTGTCAAAATTGGTTTCGCAAATTCCGTTCTGGAAATTTTTCACTTAAAGATGAGCCACGTTCAGGTCGGCCAAATGAAGTTGATGATGAAGAAATCAAAGCATTAATCGAATTGGATCGTCATGTAACTAAACGTGAGATAGGAGAGAAGTTAAATATACCAAAATCAACCATTCAATATCGCATAAAAAGTCTTGGACTGGTGAAAAGGCTTGATATTTGGGTACCACATGTATTGAAAGAAATTCATTTAACACACCGAATCAAGGCTTGTGATATGCACCTTAAATGCATTAAAACGAATCATAACTGGAGATGAAAAATAGATTGTTTACAACAACGTTAGTCGAAAATGATCATGGTCCAAGTGTGGTCAACCAGGTCAAACCACTTCAAAGGCTGATATCCACCAAAAGAAGGTTATGCTGTCTGTTTGGTGGGATTGGAAGGGTGTCGTATATTTTGAGCTGCTTCCAAGGAACCAAACGATTAATTCGGATGTTTACTGTCAACAATGGACAAATTGAATACAGCCATCAAGGAGAAGCGACCAGAACTGGTTAATCGTAAAGGTGTCATATTCCACCAGGACAACGCTAGACCGCACACATCTTTGGTCACTCGCCAAAAACTGAGTGAGCTTGGCTGGGAACTTTTGATGCATCCACTATATAGTCCTGACCTTGCACCATCAGACTACCATTTATTTCTATCTTTGCAGAACTCCTTAAATGGTAAAACTTTCGGCAATGATGAGGCTATAAAATCGCACTTGGTTCAGTTTTTTGCAGATAAAGGCCAGAAGTTCTATGAGCGAGGAATACTAAATTTGCCAGGAAGATGGCAAAAGCTTATCGACCAAAATGGCAATTATATATTTGATTAAAGTTCATTCTAAGTTTTATTAAAAATGCATTTACTTTCTTTTAAAAAATCCGCAATTACTTTTTGGGCAATACAATATATTTGCGAAACTAATACGTGAATAAAAATTAATTTGTGTTTGGGCACTATAAGAAGAACCAAAATTACAAATACTTAATACGTGATTAAAAATTAATTTGTGGAAGTGTTTGGGCACTATAAGAAGAAACAAAATTACTTCTTTTATTTTTCTCGGCCGAATTTCCACCAAACTTTAAGCACTTATTCACTTACCCAAAGAAATGTTTTTCTTAAAAAGTGGACACTTATTTATTATAAACAAAAATAATTTATTTTTCAAATTAAGCATTTCTAGAATACATGTTTGTTTTATTTATTTACTTGTTCCGAGATTTACTTTTGAGATACAAAGTATGAAATAATTCCTATAACTTTCTCATAAGAGGTGTGATCAGAAAATAACCGTTATTTTCAATAGGCCACAAACTCATGCACAAGCATCGATGTGTGAGCTGGTGCGTTACCATAGTAATTTTTTTTTCACAATTCTGCGCGTTTCTGACGAATTGCTTCGCACAAACGGTGCAACTTCTACGTAGTATTCATTATTGACCGTACGACCTTGTGGCGAAAATTCATGAAGCACCACCCCATTGCAGTCGAAGAAAACAGTGAGTTCTTATCGGTTGTTGACGTGCTCGAGCGACCGGGACGAGCATTGTCATTGACAACTTTTCGGCCTTCCTTAATCCGGTTATACCACAATTAAACTTTTGTTCTGCTTAAAGTAGACTCGCCAAACACCACCGTCAACATTTCAAATGTCCTTGCGCATTTAATTTCATTTTTGACACAAAACTTAATACAGTTTCTTTGATCCATTTCTTCGAATAGTAAAAAAATCGAAGTGCACACCAAAATGCGAATAACCTGGTTATTTGTCAAAAACAAAGTGACAATCCAAAATGGCTGATATTGCCAACATATTTATATAACAGGAATATGTACCAACAAAGCAGAAAAAAAGCGAAAATCGAACATTTATAATTGAATTTGAAAATTACAGATAATTACTCGTATGTAGTTTAAATTGTTATAAAAGCTATATAGTCTTGTGAATTAACGTTTTCATACTTTGTAGGTCATTACATATATTTTCTAGTTGGTATTAGTGTTGAATTAGAATAAAAGAAGCATACAAATAGGCAATATTTTTAAACATATCAACATTTTCCATTCTTTGAGGAGACGCAATACAATCATTATCAAAATCCAATTTATAGTACACGCCAGAGGTATCATATTTTAAGCATTCTATATCTGTGACTAGATCACGTGTAGTAATGTCTAGCCTAATCGATTCCTAAAATTTTATACCAGAAGAGTTTCTTCAAGAACTTATGGTCTATATTGAAGACTTTATATTGCCAAATATATATATATATCCAGAGGAAATCGGCAGGAATTGAGTGGACGAGGTCACATTCCATTTGAGAATGTTAAATATTTTTGATAAATAGTCATATTATGTGTATGTCTTGCTGCTATTAATTTCAATGCATTAGCCAACGTAACGTTTCGGTTTTGCGCACTAAAATCATCGCTAAATAAAACTGTTGGAATGCTTAGATTAGAATATTGCTCTAAAACATCACGAACACTGAAAGCGAAACCATTTGAATACATTCCCCTTTCTTCTTCGTCCCAAATGTAGAATAAAACTTCGGATATTTTTAATTAAAAATGTAGATTTGTGTACGGCAAGTTTTTGCTTAAAATATGTAGATGATGCAATTATTAGGGGCCCCTCTTTTCATCCTTATCTTTGTTCATTCTCTCTTTATTCTTATTTACAATGTGTTCGTTATATAAATTTTGAATAATATTGCCGTACTTAAATTTAAGGCACGGCTCACACTGATCCTTCTTAGGTTTAAATAAACCCATGTGAGAAAAATGAGTAACTTTGAAAAATGATAAATACGAGGTTTTAGGTATATGAACGCACTGTAAGCTATAGATATAGTATACACATATTTCGTATGTGATACTTATATCGCAGCAGCACTGAAACCCTATCACCGAATTTCAAATACAACAACTAAACTTACCCTGGAATTAGCTTCGCTAAATATTTTTTCTTTGAATCAAATTCAATAAGCTAGTAATAAAATTAAATATTTTTATGTTAAAAAAACAGTACGAATTTTGAGGACACATATATATATATATATACATGTAAATATGTACATACCGATATTATTTACGAACTGCAATATTTAGAAAAATAAGCATATTTATTATAAACATAATCTAATAGTAATAGGAAGATTACAATTCTCTCCAGGAAGTGGACCGGAGACTGTCAAATTAAAAAAAAAATCTTGTGTCCGTTTGTAACTGGTGTTCTCCAAAAGTAAACGACCGATTGACTTGAGAATTCGTCAGGTTGTTTCTATGATACCTGGAAAGGGTTTCATAAAAAAAATTTATAGAAGTGATTCGATTCGAAAGAATCTTATTTCTAGTTCGATTTACTTGAAAAACGGTACATAGGTATTGTTTTACTTACGATTAGTACGGAGGGCCGATCTGTTGGAAAAAATTGCTTCTATGGCCTGGATTATTTATATAATTGGCTCTTTGTATCCGAGGAAGCGATTTACGGCCGAGTTCCTCCTCCAATTTCTGCTTTTACGTCTTTACCGACCGACAGTTTATACTAAGCCGCCTTCAAACGGCTAATGCGTTTTTTATGTGGAACTTTATTTCATGTTAGAAATACACAATTTAGCTTAATTTTTATTTAAATTAAAATTCTATTACTTTGTGGATGTTAATACGACACCAGAATTCGAACCTGAACCCTCCGAATTGCAGTACGGAATGCTAACGACTCTGCTACCGCGGCCGCCGAGTTTTGATATAAATTATAAAAATTTTCGGAAGTGGACCAAGGGTCACCGGGCAGATATTTTATTGGCTTAGTACATTCCAAAACCCGATAGATGGCATCATTCGTTGACTTCGTTGGCAGAAGTTCCGCTTCCATGCATTTGCGTGCATATATTGCCTTCGCGTGCGCTATGACAATTGTCATTTTAATGAATTATGCAGAATCGATATATTGTACCCAAGTTAGAGAAAAAAAACTTTTAGAATGAGGCCTGTGGTTAATTTTTGGCACATATGCACAGAAAGTGGTTCTTACTAATGTTGGTGCTTGAACTTTTCTTATCAGAAGCCGCTTAGCTTATTTTAAGTAATTTTACGAGAATTGCTCATGACCGCGTGTTGACAACTAATCTTTGCTAGCTTGCCTACTTTCATATTGCTTTCTGCTGATCGAATTTATTTAAATAATTCACAATTAGATTTGAATTATCTTCATACATTTTATTATCACTCTTATTGTAATATAAAGGCATGTGATTAAGGCGAGGCGAAGTTCGCTGGGTCTGCTAGCACATACGAGTTACGCTACGATTGACGAGATAAAGACGGCATCGAAGAAGGAGCTGAACAAGACAAAAAAAAAGAATTTTTGAAGTGCTTCGAAGATTGGGAAAACCGTTGGCACAAGTGTGGATTACTTTTAAGGGGACAAAATAGATATTCATGAATAAATAAATGAGTTTTGAAAAAACACACAATTTGCGATATTTTTTTAACACACCTCGTATGTAGATTTAAGAAAATCTTTTTCCAGAAAAATGTTGTTTGTTGCTTTTCGTAGCAAACAGTAATAGGTCAATATGTATTTTGTGCTTCAATATCTTTGGAAAGTTCAAGCCGTCATCAATTTGCACCCAAGTAACATGCATATCTCAGCATTGAAAATATATCATAATTGTAGAAGAAACAGTTAGGCAAAGAAGATTATACGGCAGTTATGGGTATGGTGATTTACTTTTTATCAATAAAAAGACTTTAAGGCTAAACACTTTATAGTTTCTTTATTACACATCTGTGGCCTTAACAGCAATTCAAATAACAGCATCGATGTCGTCGAAACAATAGCTAAAAGGGGTAAGGGCAAGATGGACTGTGTGATCTACGAGCATGCGCATTCAACCACCCGCATATTGGCCCACGTTGAGATCTTCAGCCTTTCACTGTCTTTTTCATCTACATGTAATACTTCTAGCTCGACGAGTTTCGATGGTGCACAACATGGACGTGGGGCATTCTTAGGATTTTGTTTCCAAATCAAACTCTGCAACATTGCATGGTGATGAGCTGGGTTATAGCGCGGAGGACAATGACCGCGACAGTAACCAGCATCAAACACCTTTGGTTGTATTATAAACTCAAAACCTTTGATTTTCTTGAATACTACTTCCATTGAATGCCGGCAACAACGCTGATTGGGTTTTCGACAAGAGTTTTTGGCGACAGTAACTCCGCTTGTACGCTGGCGACCATTGGGTAGCGTGGGTAGATTATGATGATGTACCCCCTCGCCTGAATTCGAATGCTCATTCGATCTAAGCTCCTCATATGTGGCCCCAAGTCGACTGATTATATTTAAAACTGGCACTAAATTGGCGTCGTCTGCCCCTACATCCTGAATATGAAATGACGATGACATGCCGTTCAGTATACGTGCACCTTCACGAAAGCAGTTGTCGCACTGTACTTCGACACCTTGATTGGATTGACGCTCCCGTAGCCATGATTCTACTGCTCTTGTCGCATCAAATTGCACCCACTGACTATGGGTATTACCAACACTTTGATTAAACTCAAACTTACGGCTATCGAGCAAAAGGCGTTTTCCATGACTCAATCTTTGATATATTTTTAGTTTTAAAACACGCTTTTGCTTACTGAATGTTGTAAAGCCTTGAACACTATAAGCACTGTTATTGCCGTCACATGGGCGTCGCTTAGTTTTATTATGTCTGGTAGATTTAGCGGCCAACGCTGCACTGTGAATCAGCATGAAACGAATATTGGCCTCTTCAATGTCGCCAGGTTTCAGTTTTCCAATATTTTTGGCATCCAAAGAAAAGTGTAATATTATTATGGTTTTCCCGTTTTGATTAAGACGTACTCTGTCGTCGTTATTACGTTGTTTGCGTGGAAAAATTAAATGGTCAGTAATTGTTTTATGTTCAGCATTGGCAACATCATCATCTGGATAGTAATATTCAGTTGAATCGCCCTCCCTAAAATTTCGTGTATTCCGTTTCCGTCGCGAATACTGGTCCCAAATGGTAACATTTGATATGATGCTAACTATATGCAGAGAAACATTCTCCGATTTCCACTCGGTAGGTATTGTGTACGCTAATTCAGCTTTTTCCCGTCGCTTGCGTTCTTGAGTTCGAATCAAATACTCGCGATACTTCTTCACATATTCCTGCTGGCTGATGTTGACCTAAAACGACAAATAAATAACGGATGCCCTTTATTTATATAGATGAATAAGTATGGTCACGGATATTACTTCTTTATATAAAATATATTGGGATGCATAATTGTAACGTGATTCAACATAATGAAATATAGCAGCCGATATACATAATCGTACTTTCCAAGTGCAAAGAAGTTTTCATTTTGGTCTCAAAGTATTGCATATGCACCTTAACCTTCTCCCGCGAAACCAGCTCGGAGTTAATACGTAAACAACAAATATACTGGTAATCAAAAATATGCACTCTTTTAATTTTTACGGATTTTTCAATCTCCCAGATGTTAAGGGCTGCGTGGAGCCTATCGACTGGCCTCAAGCTGTGGTGTTACACAACGATGGTCAAGCTGATTTTTCTTCTTCTTTGGTTTGGTGGCCGCTGCCAGACAAATCACAAACACGATTCCACATCAACAGCACCACTAAAACGGATATTTAACCTACACAAATCGGCATTACCATGGAGCGTTTTATCAACGATTTATCTGGGAAAGAAAATTTCGAACTTTATTAAAAGAAGGCGTACGGTGCCGAAACATCTCGCTTGCCAGCGGTACTTGCGACATCTACACGCATGGGGCTAAAATAGCATATGCTCTATAACTAATTACCCTGAGCTAGATCTTAGGCACACTTCAATCTTATGGAGTACTGTAATATCTTCCAGGCGGAGCTCTTTTTTTTTTTTTGCTTCCGTGGTCTGCCCTAATGCCTGGTCACAACATACTGGCGTAACACACCACAGCATGGGCATAGTTAACAGTGACACATGTAAGATGTATATATACAACGACGTGAGTTATGGAGCAATCGATTTGTGGGATAAAAGTCAGGGAGCTGCGCAGCTCCCGAAAAAACTAACATATTTATGCCGTCCCTGGAGGCGTACCAGCCGGTAATACGGGCAGTAGATGTTAAAAACAAAATACAAAATTTTGTACATAAATATACGTAAATATATATACATATATATATATATATATTATGTAAAGCAATGAATGCTTATCAAATGTTGTATTGATCATTAGATTTAACCACTTGACGGCTTAATTATTGCAACTTAGCAACGTAGTGGAATTTTCGAAAGACAGCTTATTATTCCACTGGGAACTTAACGAATTCGTTAACTAAAGCTCTACGCCTTCTTTTACTGAAACTTGGCGAAACTTAGAAGTGAAATAAAAAATAAATGAAGCGTGAAGAAGTAAGAGAAGCATTAAAGAAGAGTAGTGATCTTTAATGCTTCTCTTACTTCTTCACGCTTCATTTATTTTTTATTTCACTTCTAATGTTATATTTTACATATATATATTTATTTATAAGGATTTTATTCAATTAAATTTTGAATTCTACAAATTATGTCTTACAGAAAAGGTAAAGCAAGGCAATGGACATGATGTTCTCCTATATCTTGGATCCATTACAGACGAGTCCACAGGATCATAGGAAATGACAAAATAGATATCATTGATGCCATTGTTTTTGGATAGTATAACAGGTAGATTTATTTATAAAAGTAGCAGTTAGTAAAGTTTTTAAATTTAGTTTTATTGAAATTTCATAGGCACGCCTTAGTCGCCGATTACGCCTCAACTTTTTAGAAGTGAACAAAGTGTACGATAAGTACACAATAAATGTATGAAAAATAAGTAGGGTGATGCGAACGTTTTGTTGTCCGGAGCGTTAAAAAAACAAATGCAGCTAGTTACAATATTTGTATTCGTTTATTAATTACATAGTCCAATAGCACCATGAAATCGTTGAAAAATGTAATGAAGCATTTAATGAGTTCAAATGAGGTCAGTGCACTGTTTGTGGCTCGCCTTAGAGTCCTCACTTATAGTATTCACATTTGGAAAATAATCTCAACAGCCTTTCTTTATCTCTAAAATAATAACGAAATCTCTGGTGACCTTTCTTTATAAATTAAAATTTTTTAGTAGAAATTTAAATAGCTTAATTAGCATATGGAGTGGTTTGGGGCACGTATATCCTAAAAAAAATGAAACATTAGATATTGTGGATTAAGTATTTATTAGTCTCATTTCAGTATATTTGATATAGTTTCGTATATTTAATAAGGTTAACAAATTTTAAGTCTGCCTTACTTTCTTTCCCAAGCTAGAGCTAAACATAGAAAATTTCCACTCAAAGTGGCCGTAGTATATTCATAATGATAAAGAATTTATACTCTATTGTGCTAAGGTTGGATGTTTTTCTATTCTCGCGACCACGTCGTCTAGAAAAATATTATATAAATAAATATTAAATAAATAAAATTTATAAGCTCAATTTTTTTTTGCAAAAAAGTTACGTCCAAATCATTTGTTAGATGTTCGTGAAGTTTTGTGATTATATTCTCTATATTTTCCATCCATCATCGTTTTTTTTCTGGTGCGATAGTTTCAATTTTTTACATGCATATATACTGCCTTGGCCAAAAGTATTAGGCACAGCACAAATTATTGATTTTTTTTTAACAAGTGAAGTTATGAAGTTTTATTGTATTAAAATACAATGAATTAGTGATAATAACATTCAATTTAATAACGGCAGCAATTCTCTTAGGCATGTTGCGTACATGCTTTGTACACTCGTCCGCACTTATAGCGTACCACTCGTTAATTAAGGCATTCTTTAAGGCAGTATTTGATGTTATACTGTTTCCTTAATCTTGCGTTTTAAAATATGCCACATAAGCTCAATGGGATTAAGATCTGGAGACTGCGCAGGCCAATCTAAAAAAAAACAACGTTGCTATCTCTAAACCAACGCATCGCTGTCGCTGATTTGGGACAAGCAGCATGGTCTTGCTGAAATTGAACCCCGCAAATGACCGTTAACGAAGGCAGAGCAATATCTTCTAGTACATTTATGTACTTTTGACTGTCCAATCGACCCTCGCAAACGAACATTTCGCCGACACCATCACCAGCCATGCAGCCCCAGATCATAATGCTGACTACTCCATGCTTAACAGTGGGTACCCCGCAATCTAGATGATATTTTTCCTCAACCCGTCGCCTCACGAACTGGTGTGTCGTTAGTGTTCCAAATACCTGTAGAAAAGAAAAAAATATGTTCTCATAATATTATATATAAATGTATACCACTATAGGATCCCAACTGTCTGTTGAAACGTCTTGAGAATGTAAGACAGACAGACAGTTGTTAATAGTTGTTTGAAGCCTTTGTATTTGTACGCTATTCTCGGATTGAATAGCAGGCAAGTACATTAAAATTTTGACCTGATTGTCTACTAAAATGCGTTTGTTTTCATATCTAGTCCGAAGCGCTTCCCAAGCCAGATCGAAATTATCGTCACTCAAAGGATATTGTTTGACAATAGCTCCAGCTTTTCCTTGAATTTTATACCTGCGGTGGTATAATTTTTGAGCACGAGAGAGCTTCGGGTGGTTAATGTACACGGCTGTGAACATGTCACGGAAAGCCGGCCATTCTTTATAACCTCCATAAAATATCTCTGTGTCACAAGGAGGAACTTGTAAGAGGACATTGGAAGCATTTGATTGCTCTGATGTGGGTTCCACACGGGATGGTGGACTCGGAGCATCGACTAGTCTGAGCATTTTTAGCTGGTCCGACATCTTGATTTGGGTAATTTCGTAAATGTCAAGACATGCATCGTACTTGCCTTGAGCTGACTCTTTGAACTTGTCAGGCAGGCTGTCATCCGTTTTGGAAAAAACGTTATCAAAGGCAGCTTGTAGTCGTACAAAATAGTCATTTAGACTTTTGTGTTTGACTTCGAGATACGATTCGGTATGATCTTCAATTGGGGAATTGTCAAATCTTGCACAGAATCTCATTAGGCTGTCACTTTCTGTTATGAACTTTTGCGCACAGGGGTCGTACGCTTTAGTTCTTGAGCGCGTTTGTGAGGATTCCCTCTTTGCACTAGCGGAATCTAGCGAAGTAGTTTTCGCTTTACCCTCAGTATCTGACATCTTGGCAATTTTCGTTTCTTGCTCTAGAGACTTTTTGGGACTGTGTCCAATTGGCATTGAGGGATTTTGGAAAAAAAAACTTTTTAAGGCCTAAAAATTTTAATAAAGCAAGAAACTTTTTTTTTTGAACTACCCACCCAGCAGATAGTGAAATCAATATTTGCACTACTTCCCACAGAAAATTTATAAATTCGGAAATGAATTGTATATGAGTGAGTGTGTGCGTGTTTTTTTTTGTCAAAAATGATTGAATGTATATAAAACCAAAACTTAACTTATAGAAAAAAAGTTAAGCTACCGTTTTGAAATAAACAAAGTATATAATCGAAGTAAAACAAAAAAATAGTTTTAATAAATTTAAAATAAAAAAAGGAAATCACACACACTCACACTTATTTATCTACGTGTATTGAAATATACGTGTTGAAATTTACATGTAAAAATATTATATATATATAAGTTAAATAAAATAATATAAAGCAGACTATTATTTATTAAATATATATATATGTAAATATGTAAATATATTTTTTTTGTCGGGATGGCAAGATATTAGAAAATCTATCTTGTACAATATTGTTACGATTTTACTAAATCAACCTCGATTATTTTCCGAATCCTTCGGGTACGATCTCTGGATGGTTAAATAAAAACTCGCCAACTTAATTTGC